AGCACATATTTGTACAACAATGTGGGGCGAACCATCTCAGCGCGAAACGGAATCGGTGCGAAACATCGCAGCGCGAACAATGTTTAGGTGCGAAACATCCTGTTACCATTTAGAAGGGGGGCCAGGGCGCCCGGGTCCCCCTTTTGTGTCCAAAATATACATAAGATTTAATAAATAATTTTTTTTTGGTGTGGCTGTGGACCCCTACCCCAACTCCAAACTGGTCAGCCCCCCCTTTTTTTTTAAATTTCTGGATCCGCCACTGATTTAGTTTTAGGCCTATTTGTTTTATTGAATAGGCCCAGTGTATTCGCAAACTTAATAATGGGAGTTGTGCTGATTATAATCCCCTAGTACCTCAAGTGCACTATATTCAGTATTAATTCACCCGAGGAATGTCCTTTATTAATTAAGATGGCTTTTATTAAGATAAAATTATCTGATCATCAACACATTAGATATCATATATTGTGAATGTCTCATAAATTATTATTATAATTATGTTGAGTCTTGACTTCAGGATATTCTAGGACTTAAAATTTAACAGTCCTCAGCTCAAGATATCCCAGGACTTATTTGATTCAGTTGGTTTTAGTTCAGAAAATGTCAAGAGTCCTGAGATTTCCTTATGTCAGGACTTGATCTCTTGTAAAAGTCCTGAAAATCCTGGGAAAATCTTGTTCTGGTGAAGAGTTAACATGAAGTCCTGATATTTCCTGACAAAATCCTGTGCCTGATATCAGGATATCTCAGGATTTGACAATTGTCAGGAGCAAAAATTTTGGAGAGCAGGACATGTCAGGATATCTCAGGAAAATCCCAGGATATCTTGACTTCTCCTGACCCTCCAGGATTTATTTCTGCAAGGGATTGTATCAGTTTTTTGTCATTATTGAAATTGGAACTAATTTGAATTGATTGTGTGTTATGTTTTTCATGTTTAAGAAGTATAATTACTAACTGTATGTATTTTCTCATTGAAAGTGGAAATAATTTGCACAGATTTTTTGTTTTGTTTTTCAGGTTAAAGACTGTAACTATTGTCTTATTGAACTTGGAACTAATTTGAATAGATAGTGGATTTTTTTTTTGTTTTGTTTGTTTTGTTTTTTCAGGTTCAAGAAGTTACTAATTGTATGTATTTCTCATTGAAATTGGAACTAATAGATTGTGTCTTTTGTTTTTCAGGTGAAAGACAATATATATATCCATTTTCTTGCATTAAAATTGAAACTTATTGGAATAGATCATGTGTTTGTTTGTTTGGGGTTTTTTATCAGGTTATAAACAGTAACTGTATTTTCTCATTGAAATTGGAACTAATCTGCATATGTTTTTTGTTTTCAGTTTAAAGACAGTAACTAATGTATTTTTTTTTTTATTGAAGATACAAGTTATTTGTAGATCATTGTCTGTCTTTCTGACTGTTTGCTTCAGGTCCCATTAATACAATTTGCAGATATTAAAGCAAACCTATAAATGCTTTCTTTATATTGCAGATATTGAAGCAAACCTCTAAATGCTTTGTTTATATAATGCACACTTTAGAAGCTGCATATTGAGAGGTATACCTTTCAGGCTTATCATTGACTATTGTTTAGGATTAAACTGTCTTTAGTTTCATCTGACAAAAAGATTGAGAATTAAAAATTATTTTGATAACCAAACTTGACCTGGTATATTTTAATGATTATTATGAATGTAAGAATTAGCATTGGGATGCACACATTGAATCAACATTAACAATTAATGTAGTATTGTACACATGACATTTCTGTGATATATCAGGGATTATGGGAATTTATTGTAGTATTGTACACATGACATTTCTGTGATATATCTGGGATTATGGGAATTTATTGTAGTATTGTACACATGACATTTCTGTGATATATCTGGGATTATGGGAATTTATTGTAGTATTGTACACATGACATTTCTTTGATATATCTTGGATTATGTGAATTTATTGTAGTATTGTACACATGACAATTCTATGATATATCTGGGATTATGGGAATTTATTGTAGTATTGTACACATGACATTTCTATGATATAAGAGGGATTATGGGAATTTATTGTAGCATTGTACACTTGACATTTCTATGATGTATCTGGGATTATGGGAATTTATTGTAGTATTATACATATGGAATTTTCTATGATACATCTGGGATTATGGGAATTTATTGTAGTACATGTATTTTACACATGACATTTCTTTGATATATCTTGGATTATGTGAATTTATTGAACAGTAGTATTGTACACATGACATTTCTATGATGTATCTGGGATTATGGGAATTTATTGTAGTATTGTACACATGGAATTTATTGTAGTATTGTACACATGGAATTTATTGTAGTATTGTACACATGACAATATTCTATGATAGATCTGGGGTTATTGGAATTTATTGTAATATCAGACCTGGCAACCCTTCCACTTTTGGCATAATTCTTCTGCTTTCTAAAACTAAAGTAAGTTGTTATGCCATGACAATCAATTTTATGCTTTTAAAATTTTTATGCTGAAAAAATGCGTTATTTAATATTTTTATGTTGGTCAGTTATGATTATTGCTTTCTTTGTATCATACTTTAACAGTACCATAAGCTCAAGAAGTATTTAACACAATTTATTGAATATCTTCTCGCTCAATTTAATGCTAGTAGGTTGTAATTAAATGTAAACTGTAATTTGCAATGACTTAATGACTATCACAAGCAATTGACCAATTACTTCATAAAGGTTAAAGAAATTATAAGATTTGTCTGAATGTTAGAATGCCGTTGTGTTACAACAAATGAAGTTAATGTTAATAATGAATGATTTAAAACGTTTTTACTCTCTTCATTTTATGATATATAGCAGGCAGAATTGTTTAGATGAGATAGAAAAGCGATGAGATGACAAAATTGTAAAATTTGAAGAATTATGCTTTTGCCTCTGAAATTCCACCAAAATTAAGCTTTAGACTACATTTCTGCAATGAAAAGGGTAGGCAGGTCTGTTGTGTTGTACACGACATTTTCTGTAATATCATCTGGGGTTATGGGAATTTGTTGTATTATTGATCACATGACAATATTCTATGATATATCTGGGGTAATGGGAATTTATTGTAGTATTGTACACATGACAATATTCTTTGATATGTTGGGGGTTATGGGAATTTAAGTATTGCACATGTGATGTTTTCTATGATATATCTGGGATTAGGGGAATTTATTGTAGCATTGTACACATGACATTTCTATGATATATCTGGGGTTGTGGGAATTTATTGTAGTATTGTACACATGACATTTCTATGATATATCTGGGATTATGGGAATTTATTGTAGTATTGTACACATGACATTTTGTAGTAGTTTTGTACACATGATAATATTCTATGATAGATCTGGGGTTATGGGAATTTATTGTAGCATTGTACACATGACATTTCTATGATATATCTGGGGTTGTGGGAATTTATTGTAGTATTGTACACATGACATTTCTGTGATATATCTGGGGTTATGGGAATTTATTGTAGCATTGTACACATGACATTTCTATGATATATCTGGGGTTATGGGAATTTATTGTAGTATTGTATACATTACAATATTCTGTGATATATCTGGGGTTATGGGAATTTATTGTAGTATTGTACATGACAATATTCTATGATATATCTGGGGTTATGGGAATTTATTGTAGTATTGTACACATGGAATTTGTTGTAGTATTGTACACATAACAATATTCTATGATATATCTGGAGTTATAGGAATTTAAGTATTGCACATGTGATGTTTTCTATGATATATCTGGGATTAGGGGAATTTATTGTAGTATTGTACGTGTGATGTTTTCTATGATATATCTGGTGTTATGGGACTTTATTAGATTGTACATAAGTTATTATCTGCAATTTATCTTGGGGTTTTGGAATTTATTGTAGTATTGTACACATGACTGTCCTATCTTTGGTTTATTTGAAGTAATTGGAATTTCTTGTAGAATTGCCACATGACAATTTCTATGGGATTATGGAAATTTATTGTAGCATTGTATTTATGACATTTTCTCTGATTGATCTGAAGTTATAGGAATTTGGCATGATATTGTACAAACAACATTTTCTGTGAATTATATGGGGTGTGTAATGAAAATGCCATGGAGTGGAGAAATTCTAGATGCTCTTGAAAGTTAATTGTTGGCCATGGAACTGTAAATGCTGACCTCTGTCTAAGCAAGGAAACTGTTAAGGTCACAATGAATCTGGAATTGTGTGGATATACATGTTTAGTTCACTTTTTATCTGAGACCCAACAGTCAGAATACTGTACAAGAAGAGGCAAAGGAAACGGACTGAAGACGTGAAGGCCCTGAAGACGAGAAGCGATACCAGTTTTTGTATAAATACAGAAGCCAGTGCACGTCTGTTATTTACAAATTTGTTAATTAAGGAAGCTCTGAATACTTCTTACTGAAGAGTTTTGATTCTAAGGAAGTTATGCAGTTGGAATGATCTGCCCTGTTTTGTAAAATGGAATAAACAAACAATTTACAGTAAATGACACAATATAAAAATGACTACTTGTATCCATTATATATTGGACCAAGGTAAAAAGATCTTATTAAAAAAAAAAAACCATGTATATTTCCTTAATGAATTAGTAAACATCAGTGATTTTTGTTCCATAATACTTTTTTGGACATTTTACCTGGAGAAATAAGGCAAGCACCTTTTGTCAAAGGTGAAGAAGATAAAAATCTACATTTTTATAATTGTATGATATAATTATTGATTTTCTTAATGGTGATCAGAGAACATTTTCATACATGTTTATAAGAGCTTTAATCTTAAAAGATCTATTTAACCATGATTTTGTGGGAATAAATGATGTACGTATTAATATCCTGTTGTACAATGTAATTAAATTATACCAAAAGAATGACAAGTAGATATGTCAGATCTAGATCGATCTCTTATAGCCAAGATCGACACTGATGGTAATCCCCATCTAATGAACATCCTGCTAACTTGACCTTAGATTTACCACCATTCATACCAGAAGTTTGAAATCAATGGAGAGGAGAGTGGCTATGGAGAAATATGCTGAGGAAAACATGAAGAAAGAAAACATGACGGCCTTAGTGAAAGAAATGATATTGTAAGCAAAATTATGATTTATAGAAAATACCTCTTACAAGGTAATTAATTTAAATGTAGTCTGTAGATCAAAAATATTTTGTGAACCCTATTTTAGCAAGATGATTTTTTGATGCATGTATTCTTGCAAAGTGAAATTTTAACAAAATTAGTTAATGATTTACAAATTGATCCTTTCTGAATTAAATATATATATATGAGAGTAAAATATTCACTAACAGAATTCTTTCATAAGTACACAAAAATAAAGTTCTTGAAAAAAAGGTGATTTACAGTATAGATGTAAATACTGTAACCCAACTATTATTCGTGTTATCTTTTATTCGTGACTTGTTAGTTTGAAATCAATCCGCAACGATTAATTTTTGCAAATGAGGAATTATTCTATACAAATACAAAGCAAAATAAATGGTTCGCGGTGATTAATATTCACGAGTTGAAGTAGGTTGTGAAATTCGCAAATATTTCTTGCACGCGAATAATAGTTGGTTTACAGTAATTAACATACAGTACATTTATAATTATAAGACAATTTTTTTTATTTTAGGGCTATTTCACAGAAGAGGAGGGAAGAATTCAAGAAGTTTTTCGGGATTTAGAGTTAGCTAAAATTTAAGATGGATTTTTTGGTAAATTTAAAATTTAACTTTTTATCATATTAAAAAATTATTTAAAGATGAAGGAGCAGCATTTATCAGTAATGCTAACTTCTGTTATGATTCTCTTCAGAGATGTGGCAATTATAGACTGGTAGAATTAATCTGCTGTGAAATTGACCAGGATGTATTTGACTGCCTTGATCAACTGTCCATATAATCATTATGGTAAATATCAAAATTCGATTTTAGCCATCTGAACACTTGCCAAATAATGCCAAATTTTAATCCTAGCTAAAATTTCTGCTTTTGCATGTAGTAATGCCTATTCATGAATGATTAATATTCACGAGAATATAATTATTTTAATATTTAATTAGTTCTGGAGGGTCCAAACTCAAACCTAACATTCTTGAGGTACTACAAGCCTTAGAAGAGAAGCCATTTGCCATAAAATGTCCAAAATACATTTGAAGTGATGATCATCATCAATGGTAATTTTTTATTTTAAAGATTACGTCGTACTGTATTGTTCAAAAATGCATAGAACGCAGGTATGGATTCCGGCAGAGGTGCTTCATACGCTTGCCCCCTCTAAAACAAAAAATAAGAGATAATTTTCATTGTCTTACATTGATGTAAGACAGTCATTTATGATATTGATATAAAGTGATTTATGTGCTAAAATAAGATTCTACAAATTGTGAACTATCAGGAGCTTGGGGGGGGGGGGGGGGGGGGGGCTTTTCCCCAAACCTCCAACTGGACCCTGCCTCTCTGGGACCTCAGCAGAACCAATGCCCCTTGCCATTTTAAAGTACCTTCTCTGGGAAAGCAAAATCCTGGATCCACACCTGAAATGTACTTGTGTGAAAGATTTTCTAATTTAAGATTTTGATATAGTTCTGGAAAGCTAGGCTTTACTCATGATGCCTGTCATTACAGAGTTTGAGCTATGTTTTATTAATTTTTTTCTTTCGCGAACAAACAGTCTAACTTGTATTATTGTAGAATAATAAAGTTCTTGTGAATAAAAAGGGATTAACAGTTCTAGTCTTGAAAAATTTACTTCTTCTATTCAATTAAAGTTATTGAAATAAAGTTAGTTAATAATCAACATGAATTATTATTACATTTACACATTTAAATGATTCTCTTCGAGAAGGTTTATTCCAGAATTGGCATAGATCAATGAATAATACTGAAAATAACCTTTAAATCATTTTAAAATTTTTTTAACTTATTTGGTTCTTTTAATATTTTAGGCTTTGGGTGAAGGTTGTCTGTAATTGCCAAGTCAACATTTACCGAGCCAATATCTGGTGCCTCTCGCAAACTGAAGAATATATAGAAAAACCAACATTCATCACATTTGATCTTGCAGCTACCAGACTTGGTAAGTTGTTCAACTAAGATCCTAGTTTTGGCAAAAAGTGGTTGTTTCTATCATTATCTATCATTAACTTTGTCTAAAATATCACAGTAAAAAATGAAAATAAGGGGGGGGGGGGGTATTACTATAGACTAAGAACATTATTTTAGGCAAAATTGGGTTGTTTCTATTATTATTATCTGCATTAATACCCTTAATACTTGTACTTTATATATCATGGTAAAAAAATATAATTTAGTATTGTATTTCTATAGTGTTGGACAAGGAGCCTTGCCCTATATTACTCAAACTGGAGTGGTGGAGGTAGAGTTCAGGGATATTTTCACTGTCGTGTTCTTCCAAGAATTCCCTTAGAGTCTGGAGCAGAGCAAACCACCAGAATAGTCTGCAATGGAACCTTAGTTTTTTCTCATGGATAATTTTGACAATTTTATTGTATTATTGTACAGATGGCATTTTCTGGGGTTATGGAAATTCAATGTAGTATTGTACTGACATTTTTTATGAATTATCTTCAGTTGTGAAAATTTAATTTTGTATTGTTTACTTGATATTTTCTAGGATTTATCTGGAGATATAGAAATTAATGCATTATTGTATTATACTTTATATGATTTATTTGGGCTATTTTAATTATTCAACAGTATATCTCTCTCTGTGGTAAGTTATGTGTAAGTTATTTTCTTTGAATTGTCTTGAATTAATATGAATTTTATGCAGTATTGTAGACTTTATTATTTCTATGATATACCTGGGGTCATTGGGATTATGGGAATTTATTGCAGTATTGTATACCTAATAGTTTTTATGATGTATGTGGAATTAAGTGGGATTATTGGGATTTCATGAAGCATTGTATTCTTTATAGTTTTTATGATATATTGGGGGTTAATGGGGTAAGGGAATTTCATGTTGTATACTTTAAAGTTTCTATGATTTATTCAGGGTTAATGAGGTTAGGGAATTTCATGTAGTATTGTGTACTTTATAGTTTCTTAGATATATCGGGGGTTATTGGGGGTATTAGAATTTCATGTTGTTTTGTACTTGTATTTATAGTTTCTATGATTTATTTGGGGTTGAGGGGGTTAGGGAATTTCTTGTAGTATTGTGTACTTTATAGTTTCTTTAATATATCTGGGGTAATTAGGGTTAATAGAATTTCATGTAGTATTGTATACTTTATAGTTTCTATGATTTATTTGGGGTTAATGGGGTTAGGGAATTTCATGTAGTATTGTGTACTTTATAGTTTCTGTAATATATCTGGGGTAATAAGGGTTAAGAGAATTTCATGTAGTATTGTATACTTTACATTTTTTATGATTTATTCGGGGTTAATGGGGTTAGGGAATTTCATGTAGTATTGTGTACTTTATAGTTTCTCTGATTTATTCGGGGTTAATGGGGTTAGGGAATTTCATTTAGTATTGTATACTTTATAGTTTCTGTGATTTATTCGGGGTTAATGGGGTTATGAATTTCATGTAGTATTGTATACTTTATATTTTTTATGATTTATTTGGGGTTAATGGGGTTAGGGAATTTCATGTAGTATTGTGTACTTTATAGTTTCTATGATTTATTCGGGGTTAATGGGGTTAGGGAATTTCATGTAGTATTGTATACTTTATAGTTTCTGTGATTTATTCGGGGTTAATGGGGTTATGAATTTCATGTAGTATTGTATACTTTATATTTTTTATGATTTATTCGGGGTTAATGGGGTTAGGGAATTTCATGTAGTATTGTGAACTTTATAGTTTCTATGATTTATTCGGGGTTAATGGGGTTAGGGAATTTCATGTAGTATTGTATACTTTATAGTTTCTGTGATTTATTCGGGGTTAATGGGGTTATGAATTTCATGTAGTATTGTATACTTTATATTTTTTATGATTTATTTAGGGTTAATGGGGTTAGGGAATTTCATGTAGTATTGTGTACTTTATAGTTTCTATGATTTATTCGGGGTTAATGGGGTTAGGGAATTTCATATAGTATTGTGTACGTTATAGTTTCTATGATTTATATTATCTTGGGTTATAGGGATTTGTGTTGGTTTTTTAATGCAGTATTGTATACTTTATAGTTTAAGAATAATAGAGTATTGAATAGTTGTCTTTTTTTTCACAAATTTTGTCTTTTTTAATCAATGAGTTATCTAGCATTCTTTGAACTAATTATTGTAATATTGTCCATTATTATTAGTATTATGTCATTAATTTTTTTTGATTTTTGGAATTTAATGTATTGTTTTGTGTACATTACACGTCTAGGGTTTATCTGGGGTTATGGGAATTTAAAGTTAAGTATTTTACACATCACATTAAACTATGGGATTTTGTTGTATCATCACACACATGGCATTTCTATAATATATCTAGGTTACAAAGATTTATTGTAGGATTACACACATATAACATTTTCTCTGATTTATGGGGTGGGGGTTATAGATTTGTTGTTGTACTGTACACGTGAAAATTTCCATAATTGATCTTGGGCTATAATTATAAGGTTATGGGAATTAATGGCCATATTACACACATTACATTTTCTCTGATTTATCTCGGGTTATGGGGTTTAGTTATAGTTTTGAACACAGGATATTTATTGATTTAGGGTTTGGGGAATTTAATAAATTATTTTAAACATGACATTTTCTATGAATTAATTATGGGGTAATGGAATTTAAATGTAATATTATACATATGGTTATAAGAATTCAATGTTATGTTGTACATGTCATGACATTTTCTATGAATGACCTTGGGATATGTAAATTTTTTGTTGTATACTAGATTGTTAATTTTATAAAGTTCTGTGCTTTTGTAAATTTAATTTTGTATTGTTAACTTGAATTTTTTTATGATTTTGTCTGGGGTTACACAGGAATTTATTGTAGTTATAACTGCACACTTCATATTATCTGTGATTTATCTAGGGTTTTGGAAATTCAATATAGTACACAATTTTCTAGGATTTCTGTGGGATTATGGGAATTTAATTTTTATTGTACACTTTACAATTACTATGAATTATCTAGGGCTATGGGAATCAAGTGTAGCATTGTACACATTACATTTTCTCGGATTAATAGCTGGGGTTATTAGAATTTATCGTGGTCTGACACACTAATGTCTTCACATTTTCTATTATACACGTGTATATGGGGTTATAGGAATTTTATATAGTATATTGTATACTTGAAATTTTCTCCGATTTATGTGGGGTCATGGGAATCTATTGCAGTATTATACAATTTACATTTTCTATGAATTATCATTGGTTATGGGAATTCAATTAGGTATTCTAGGGTTGTGGGAAATTATCTTACATTATCATAATTTACTGTAGTAATGTATACTTTATATTATTTTCTATGATTTATCTGGGGTTATGTGAATTTATGGTGGGTAATGGGATTTAATGTAGTTATTTGTTCATATTTATCTGGGGGTTGGCATATTCATTTTTTAGATCATAATCTTTGTTTTTTTATGGTATCTCATTTTCAGGTCAAGTTTGTTAAAAAATATGTCTTCCATTCTTTTGTTTGTCTTGTCTCTTTTTTTTTTTGGGGGGGGGGGGGGGCAAGGGAGGCATAGGAATAGGAATTTAATTAATGTGGATTTTGCTTAACATTGTATATTGTATTAAAAGATGTTGCTTAATGTTTTCATGTGGTTGATTTACATTTATATACATCTACACATAGAAACAATAATGAACTTTGAAGGCATACATTGTTTGATCTTTTTCAGTGTCACACATATGTGTCATTAAGTAGGTAAAAGTAATAGTGATTGACCAACTTGTTTTAGGTGTGCATTATTGAAAAGAATTAAGTTTTGTTCAGAGATAAGAACTGGTATGTAAATCAAACTTGCAGAGAATCAAAGTATAATAAGACAAATATGTCTTGGGAATGTGTTTGATGAGTTAATTGTTAATTAAGCTTGTTTACGATGATGATGTCTTTCCAGAACTGAACATGCAAAACATTTTACAATGGATCTATGGATGTTTATACTGATGCTTGCAATGGATTCTGAATAAGCCCTACACGTGCTTTAGACACTCGTGCAGTGCAGTGTGATAGAGCTGCCTTTCTATGATGCTCTTAAAGTTGTATCGAACCCATGTTTGCACAGATTGTGTGCCTACACATGAATGCTTTGCCCTAATGCAGCTTTGTATGCTGCATCTGACCTATATTTTATGACACACTCTACACTGTTTCATAAATTACTTGCTTTTGTTGCAAGTCAATGAGAACCAGTTTAGCTCGTCAGGTGCATCCACCTTAAGCTTTGTTTTTCAGATAAATCGGGATTTTGTGCATGTTAACCTTATTTTGTTACATGTAACTTGATACCTTTATATGCTTTATTATGTATTTATTGGTTTTTCATGTAAATAAATGTGTATTTATTTGTTAGTTGTGTAATTTTTTAAATGCATTTCTAATGTCATATGAAATGATTTAGGTAAATGTTCATGTAGAGCTGCCTTTAATCTCGAGCCTTTAATTGCTCTAGAGTTGTGGAGTAAAGTGTTGAACTTTAAGTCACAGGTTCGAATCCCACTGTGGGATATGGAGACTGGTACTTCGGATAAGATCGTATTAACAGAGGTCCCGTGTCACAGTAGGTGTTGGCAAGAAAAAGATCCCTCACTGCTCAATGGCCCTGAGTGCCAGGTATAGGTCTAAAATTTACAGCCCTCCATCAGCAAGTGCTGGTGTCTTAAAATGAGTGAAAAATTCTCAAAAGGGGCGTTGAACAAAGAAAAGTATAAAGCTGAACTTTGGTATCTGGAATAATACCATGGGTATTTTATGAAAATGTAAAAAGAAAAAAAAGTTGTTTATCCCAGATTTGAAAGAAAAGTAGTAAGCTGGATATCCCGAGTGCCAATACATTTTGTCTGAAATTTAGGTCTCAAGATCAGATCAGAAAAACTCAAAATAATATTCCAGGTTAGATTTAAATAAAAAATGTTCAAATATGTTGAAAAAAAAAGTTATTTTGAAATGAAACAAAATAATGAGGAAGAATGAGGCGAGGACCCCTTTTGAAGCTATTATTCCTCGGTTATCAAAGTTTATTTTCTTGGAAAGTACATGTATAAATTGTCAGTACCCATGTAATGTCATCTTTCGTATGTAACGGGGAAATCCTGGCATAAAACAACACAGAGAAGAATGTCCAGTTTTCAATAAATTGATCATCATTTCAATATTTATATATGATATAACAACTGGCTCTGAAGTTAATATAAAACACACAATAATACTAGAATGGTGCTATAAAAATATAATAATAGATACATAAGAATCATTATAAACATTGTGTCATAAGTAAATATTTCACTATATGGAATTTACTACTGCTTTCCACGTATAAAGGGAGGTAACTCTTATAACCTTAATTGAAATACTTTTCA